TGGGCTCTATCTCCACTCGGTGCGCTACAATAGCCGAGACTTGACCTAGCCGGCCCTGATACAAGCAGGGCACTGCATAGTCGGACCCTTTATACCGGAGTTTGACATATCAGAGATTTAACACAGCGGGGCCTGACAAAACCGGACCTGACCACAGGCGGGCCATGACATAGACGAACCTGACCACAGCTGGGCTTGACACATCAGGACCTGACATAACAGACCCTGACACAGCGAGACCTGACACAGTAGGACCTGACACAGCCGGACCTGACACAGCCGGACCTGACACAGGCGGACCTGACACAGCCGGACCTGACACAGGTGGACCTGTCACAGCCGGACCTGACACAGCCGGACCTGACACAGCCGGACCTGTCACAGCCGGACCTGACACAGCCGGACCTGACACAGGTGGACCTGACACAGCCGGACCTGACACAGCCGGACCTGTCACAGCCGGACCTGACACAGCCGGACCTGACACAGGTGGACCTGACACAGCCGGACCTGACACAGCCGGACCTGACACAGGTGGACCTGACACAGCCGACCTGACACAGCCGGACCTGACACAGCCGGACCTGACACAGGTGGACCTGATACAGCTGGACCTGTCACAGCCAGACCTGACACAGCCGACCTGACACAGCCAGACCTGACACAGCCAACCTGACACAGCCAGACCTGACACAGCCGGACCTGACACAGGTGGACCTGACACAGGTGGACCTGATACAGCTGGACCTGTCACAGCCAGACCTGACACAGCTGACCTGACACAGCCGGCTCTCACACAGCCGGCCTGACACAACCAGACCTGACACAGCCGGCTCTCACACAGCCGGCCTGACACAACCAGACCTGACATAGTCGGCTCTCACACAGCTGATCTGCACTCTCCCCTCCCTGGGAAGCAGCTCTCGGAACCACAAGGCCCAGGACCCAGTGGGCTCACTGCTGAGAGAAACCGTCTGTGTCCCAGGTGCCGTGCGCCCTGTTCTGGGAATGACCCTGTCACCCGGCAGGTGCAAGGTGGGGAAGACACAGGGACGCTGCCCGTGAGGCTCACGGCACAGGACAGCGTGGCCATCCTGTCAACGCCGGCGCCCTCTCCTCCCGGCTCCTGAGGGCACCACTGAGCGGAGGGCCAGGGCTGAGACCGACCCTGAGACCCTCGGCGGGGACACCTGGCTGGTGCCCGGGGCCCGCCTGCCCCCTTACCTGAGGGCCTGGCCTCGATGACGTAGCCCGTGGTGGGCGCCCCGCCGGCATGGCCCTCCGTCCACCACAGGGTCAGCTCGGAGGTGGACTTGGTGACCAAGACGTCTCTCGGGGGCCCCGGGGAGCCTGTGGAAGGAGCAGGACAGGGGAGACGTGGGCCCCGGGGTTCCCAGCGCCGGGGGTGGGGGTGGGGGAGGGGCTGTGCTGCGTCTCCGCCCCCAGGCAGGTCTGGCCCTGGTCAGTGACCCGCCTCAGGGCTGAGGAAGGGATGACCCGGGCCCAGCGCCGTGCCACGCTCAGTGTGACCCTGTAAGGGCCCCTCGTTTCTGCGGGAAGCTGCATGGCTGCCTCCGACGCGTGAAACTAACATTTTCTTAAGCATCTTATTCGAAAGTCAACGTCACTCATTTCTTGATTTTTCCAGAAAACCAATTCAAGGCTTTAACGGCACCTGAGACGCTGTCCGCGTGCACTGACGAGCCGCCCGCGAGGGCAGCACCTGCTCCGGAGACACCCACGTGCCCGGGGGTCCCCAGCTCGCGCCTCGCGGCTGGGTGACCAGTCTGTCCAGAGACGCAGGCGCCCACTCACCCGCGGCCGGCCCGGCCGTGACGTTGGCCTGCAGCTCGGGCCCGTAGGCGATGGTCCGCGCCTGGACGCGGAAGAAGTAGGTCACGCCCTTGGTGAGGTCCCGCACCTTCAGCCAGCGCTGCCCGTTGCCCTGGACGTCCACGGTCACCACCTTGCTCACCCCTGGAGCGCGGGGCACAGACAAGAGCAGGTTAGAGAGGTGCGGGCGCCGTCCCTAAGGAGGCTTTCCTGCAGGAGGTGGCGGAGGTGCTCACAGCCCATGGCAGCCCCGATCAGTGTCCTTAGAGCTTGCGCTGGCTGCATGGGTGCGGGCAGAGGGAGACCCGAACCCGGAGGAGGGGGAGGCGGCGCGGCCTCGCTGTTCACACCGGCCAGCAGGCTTGCAGGCAGCCACGCCCGGCCCCAGGTCAGGCTCCTGGGACGCTGTGGCGGCTCCCTCCCCACTGGGCTCTGACTGTGTCACGCCAGTGTCCCCAGCACAGGCCCGAGCTTCCTGAGTCACGGGGAAGGGGAGCGTGGGTCTCCGGCCTCAGGCGACTCGTGACACCCTCCCCCGTGGGCCTGGAAGCAAGATGAAGAGGCGTGGTCCCGCCAATATCGACGCCTCGGCTCAGAGAACGTGGCCACAGGGACACAGTTTCCCTCCTAAACGTGGAGACGGAGCAAAAGTGCTGCTGCTTCTACTGAGAAAAGTTAGAGAGTGGGGTAGCGTTCTGAGAGGAGGGAATCTGCTGGAGGTCATACACGCATTTGCCAGAGAGAACGGAGGGTCTCTGGTTTGAAAACGATGCATTTGACAAACAGTCACACGGGCTCTTGGCTGTAGGTTTCTCTGAGCTCTGGGCGCACGTCTACCCGCGTCTCCGTGGGGAGGAAGCGAGGACATGCATTCTGAGACGTGGGAGTCACGGACTCGCACAGAAGAGCTGTCCCTGCTGTCCCGGTCCGGCCGTCCACCCCCCGCACCCACGGCAGGGCCACGGCCTCTAACCCCACAGCCTGAGCGCAGGCGGCAGGGCCATGGCCTCTAACCCCACAGCCTGAGCGCAGACGGGCTCTCCGCGGAGGGGACCACCCTTCCGCCGCCAGCCGCGCAGGTGTGGGAACTACCCTGTGTTCACTGGCACCCCCTCCGCAGACAGTGCTGAGCCCCTGCGGGTGCCCTCTGCGCTGCCCCCCCGCCCGTACCTTGCACGGGCGCCAAGGGCTCGTAGACGACGCGGTAGCCCTGCAGGACGCCGTTGGCGGCCGCCGGCTCGCCCCAGGACACGTTCAGCGACGTGGAGCTGACTTCCGAGAAGGCCAAGAAGCTGGGGCTGCCGGGCGCTGGGGACGGAACAGAAGGGACGTCATGGATCAAATGTGTGATGAGAAGCCATTTCCACCTCAGTATGGGTCTGACTGGCCTGCGAGGGCGAGGGCGGGACTGACTGTCCCCTCGGAGCTCCTGGGGGGATCGGAGCCAGGCCGAGGGGAGGGAGGGACGCCGGGGCCTGAGGGCGTGACTCCTCACGTGGACACGGAGCAGGAGGTGCAGCTCCACCTCCCAGCCCCTGCCAGGCTCCGAGGCCGGCTCCGTCCTGCCCTGGGTGGGGTGGGGGGCGGCGGGACGGGACTCGGTGCCGGCTGGGCCTGCCGCCTCTCTCCACCGTCTCATCTGAAATCCCAGTGGCGCTCTGCCCTCTCCGGGGCCACCTGGGCGGGAGGGAGGCGGAGCCGGAGGACGCACGGCAGACCAGTGGCCAGGTGTGTGGCCACCTCTCACGCCCCTCCTGCCCAGGCTCCATGGGAAAGTGGGGGCGGGTGCTGGTGCCCAGAGTGGGCCCTCCCTGCTGGCCGGGGCACCGACTCTCCTGCCCTCCCCTCGGGGCTCGGGAGCCTTCTTGCCTGGGAGGGCCGCAGTGCCCGGGTGAGGCCCCTGCCCCCAGGTCTGCCTCCGCACGTGGCCTGTCTCAGCTGCTGTCCACGCGGGTGGCCACGTCCCCGGGAAGCACGACGCTCGGGAGGTGCTAAACCCACTGGATGGCAGGGAGCCCGGCGGAAGGCGGGTCTTCACCCCACAGGCCCCCTAATCTCACTCCCCCCCTTGGACTCCAGGGTCCTACCAAGAGCCTCTTAGAGCTCCCGGGCCCTGGGCCAGGCTGCCGACCCCTCGGTCCCCTGACCCGAGTCAGGTTCAGGTGCCAGGAGACTAGAAGCACCGGGCGAACGGGCGGCCTCAGAGCCCACACTGCGCCTGCGTGTGACGGGAGGCTCAGCCCGTCGCGCTCCTGGACCCAGCGGGGCATGCGCCTGAGACGCTGGTGAGCTGCTGGCGGGGGCGGGGGGGGTGGTGGTCTGTGGCCCCCACACCCAGGGGAGTGAGTGCCCAACACACTGGCCTGGGCGCCGCCCTCATAGTGCACTCCCAGTGACGAGAGCATGCCAGCCGGGGGGGCTGGTGGGTCCCCAAAGGGCCTGGCCGGGCCCAGGTGACCCTGGAGGGGGCATGGAGCACTCACAGCTGGCTAATGGCTATGGGGCCCCACTGCTGAGCAGCTGACCAGGCCCTGGGGCAGCCATGGAGCCAGCCCTACGGGCCTCGGGACGGGCAGAGCAGAGCCGTGGGACAGACAGGGGCTGCTCTCACGAGGGCGCCCAGCAGAGGCGGGAAGGAAATGCACGGCCGCCTCTCCTACCCGCCTGGTGGGTGCGCCCCGGCCGGGGCTCACTCCTGGGCCCGTCTCCGGCGGCGTTGAAGGCGGAAATGCTGACCAGGTAGCGGGAGTGGCTGGTCAGGTTCTTCAGCTTCACCACGGTCTCCGGCAGGAACAGCACCTTCACCTTCTCCGTGTCGTTCTGGCTGCCCGCCTCCCAGTAGTAGATCTGCAGAGAGAGCAGGGTCGCAGGCGGCCTGGGCGGGGCCCCCCTTTCCAGCCGGGGGAGGTGAGCCGCGAGGGGGCCCGAGTGCACCCCTGCGTGCAGCTGTGCTGAGTGGGAGGGCGGAGGGGACCTTCTCCTGAAGAGTCGGGGGCAAGAAGACAGAACACGGACAACAACCGGGGGGCGCAGCCCTGTGGGGACAGCCCACACTGCTCCTGGGCGCCACCCCCTCACCGAGCGCCCGTGGGTGAACTCGACGCCCAGGATGGAGGTTTGCGGAGGTCACCACGGCTGCTGCCCTAGACGGCTGGCCAGACACCGACTGCCCCCCAACAGCCCAGCGTCTGCGCTCTGACCTGCGGGGAGACCCCGGCTGGGACAGGCTCCCTAACGAGATCAGATCCAAGCCCCGTGTCTTCAAGTTGAGGAAACTAGAAGCCTTGTTTGGGACACACACATGGCGCCTTGGCTCCCAGCTCCCGGGACCGCCCCTTCGCTCATGAATCACCGACCGGCCTGCCACGCAGGCAGGCGCTGACTTCATGAGGTGCCTACGGAGTCGTTTCTAAATGGACATTAACGGGTCCGATAGCCATAAGGGCGGGGAGCCCATAGACTCCGATGACTGATGAGCCCAGACCGGGAACCACCCCGGAGAGGGACGGGGGACGGGGAGGGGCACCCTGGCTCCAGGGGGCTTCGGGGGCCTCCCGGCCTCAGCTCTCTACGCAGAGCCGGACCGAGCGAGGAGCTTCCTGCCCCGGGGAACCCAGCTCTAATCCTTCATCACCCAACTCTCCTTGGCCCCACCTGCTGCCTTTCTCTTATCCCGTCTCTGATCTTCAGCTAATGTGGAACCATAACACTGTGGTGCAGTGGTTCTCAGAGTGGGGTGCCTAGGAACCACACCCCACGGGGAACTTGTTAGGATGCAAATTCTCAGCCCCACCCTGGACCTATGAAGTCAGGAGGCTCATGCACCATCCACTGGGGCCCGCGGCAGAGCTGGGATGGGAACCTGTTCTCAGGGTTCTGTCTGATTGCCGGCAAAGCCCCTGGAGACTCCCCAAGTGTGTGTGTGTGTGTGTGTCTGTGTGTTGGGGGGGCGGGGGCAGGCCCCTGACCAGGCCTGGTCACAAACCAGCCAGAGGCATCGCTGGGCTGGCCTGCTCCTGGCACTCAGGGTGGCCACGGCTCTGTGGGCCGATGGTGGCTGTGTCCGCCACAGGAGCCAGGCAACAAGCGAGCCGAGAGCGGCAGCGTGCGTGGGGCCAGGGCTCCATCTGGGGACTCGGCCGCTCGGGCCCACAGCAACCTGCGGGGCGGCCCACGCGGCGCGGAGCTTGCCTTGTAGCCCTGCACGTTCCCGTTCTGGCTCTCGGGCGGCGGCGGGTCCCACGTGACCTCCAGCTGGCTGGCCGTGAGCGGGTTCACCTGGACGTTCTGCGGGGCCATGGCCGGCGCTGGGGGGAGAGACAGGACAGGGGGGCCTGAGACACACGGCCCGGCCTCCATGTCCGCGCCACGAGCACCGCCAGCCCTGCTGGTCGCGCTTCCAAACGCGTTAAATAAAATGGGAGAGCTGCCTGGCCCCGCGAGACTGAGGCACGGAGGGGCTGATGGAGACCCGGTCCAGTGACAGCTGTGCCGTGGAGTGGGACGCGCGGGACCTGAGGGACGGGGAGGCCCCGGGTGGAGCGCGGGGAGAAGGAAGCGCCTGCTCCCACCACGTGTCCAGGGCCCAGGCTCTGGGCGGCGTCTCCAGACCAGGGCTGCCTCCGGGAGGGACAGGCCCAGGCTCCATCTCCACGCGCTCCTCCATGAGGTCCTGTGACCCCCAATTCTGAGGACCCGGCCTCGCTCCTCCCCTCTGTGCCCCAGGGGAGACCGGGCTGCCCTGCTGGGGTCAGCAGGGCTGTGCTGTGTGTTAGGGGACATCACGGCCAGCACCCCCACCCCGAGCGGCTGTCGGGAAGCTGGGGTGACATCTCCCCACACCGGGCACTCGGCAGGACACCTGCCTCTGGGACCCCCTTGCTCCCCCGTCCTGGCACCCACGGTGACACCTGCCGGAACCCACATGTCCCGGGGGTGCTAGGACCCCTCACCACCTGCAGCTCGGCCTGGGGCCAAGGAGCGCGGCCTGCGGACTCGAGTCTGGTTTCAGGCTGTACATGGAAACCGGAGGCAGTGGCTCTGGGGGCAGACAGCCCAGCGCCCGGGCGCCCGAGCCTTCTCGGGGAGAGAACGACCTTCACGGGCCGCCCCTCCCCTCGAGCCCCCTCCACGTGGAATGAAATAGTAATTAACACCCGCGCGGCCTGACACCCACATTTGTTTTGCTCTAACTGCGGCGCGGCGGCCCTGCCTCGTGGAAATGTTAATAACCGCACCAGGTTGTTGTGGCAGATGCTCGGCCTCATTATCAGAACTTCTTATTTACCGCTCCATTAGACAGAGAACCGCACAAAACAATTCAATCAAAACTAACTGGGGAGTTTCAGCAGCCACATTAATAACCCAAAACATAAATAAACTTAATGTCTTCTGCATGTTTGCCATCGGCAACTCTATCGCAGAATTACTGTCGCGCAATTAAAATGTGGGCGACATTGAGCGCCGGCGACATTGAGCGCCGCCGTCACCTGCTGTGGGCGAGGCCCCCACCCGAGGCTCCCTTCCAGAGGCACCTGAAGGCGCAGCGGGGAGAGGCCCGCCGTGGCGGGGTCCACGGGGAGCTGCAGGCCCGCGCGTCCCTCACCGCGGTCGGTGGACACTGCTGGACAGAGGCCCTTGGTCCCTCCCCGGCGGCGGGGCCCCATGTCCCCAAGCTGAGGCCCCCGATGTGCCCACCAGCTCCCTGTAGCCCCGGCTTCTGTGCCAGGAAACAGGGCAGGTGACAGACCTGAGTTGACAGCAGGGAGGAGGGAATGGTGTGAGCTCAGAGCAAGGCCTGGGGTCTGGGACTTCCTGTCTGGCTCCTGAGGGGGCGGGTCTCCAGGCCCACGGGGGACGGACCGCCAGGAAGGCGCTGCCCGATGGCGAGGCTGTCATCTGCCCAGCCTGGCATTTGGTGTCAGAACACGAGGGGAGGGGCTCGGAGAAGGGGCCGCAGGGGCTCTGGCTGCCCGGGGGAGCCCACCCTGCACAGACCTGGTGCTGCACCCCGCCGGGGGCTGTCTCAGTCCACCCTGGGAATCTCAGGGGTGACGATGGGTGATGGTGACGACGGTCCATGGAGAAAGCTAAGGGATGAGCCAGAGGGACCTGGTGTTTCTCCCCTGGAGCAGGACGCTTCCCTGTGAGGCCACGCCCACCCCAATGCAGCCTCCCCGGTGCCGGGAGCTGGCCCCTCCCCTCTACCTATATCTCCAGTAACTCCTGGGGGCCCAGCAAAGCCACCCGACGCACACCTGGGCCCCAGAATCCACCGCCGATGTGTCATCCCAAAGCCAGACCCCGGGAGATCGCTGCTCTCACACAAGCCGGGCTGTGGGCTCAGGGCCGGCCCAGCACTGGGCTGACTCCGCCACTGCCTGGGCTGGACCAGTGCCGGTCGGGCCAGACCTGCCGGGGGCGTCTGGGCTCCCCTGCCCGGCCAGGTCCCTCTCGGCCCCACAGATGGGAGCGATCTGGGTTGGACGGAGTCCACCGCCTCTGAGACTGACCGAGGCTCAGAGAGCAGCAGAGGCGCTGTGAGGTGCTCACTGTGCCCGCCCTGACGCTCGGGGGGGGGGGGGAGGGGG